ACATTTATACAACAAATTTATCAATTCATAGTTCACACAGTGTTTCAACACATGATCTGACAGACCCTGGAATCCACAAACATTCCCCATTTGCCTTAAACAGTACTGCAAGTCTTTGCACCTGTTTTCCAACAGTCAACAGCGTCAGCGACAAACTGTTCGGATGTTTGATCAACCAGGTTTTCTCTTATTTCCTGTAGCTTTTCCACGATATATGGCTGGCTCCGTAATTCACAAACAACTGTTTCAGCACATCCTTGAATTTTTTGAAAAGGCAGATGTATTCCAAAACACTTTAGAAGCCCCACTATGGGATGTTTTAACTCGGGTGTGAACAATGTCTGTGTTATATCTTTATAGTATTTTTCAAAAAAGAAGATATCCGGCTCAAACTGGCATGAATGTCGAAGTTGACTGGGGTGTTCCACTTCACAACCGAAACAGGTTTCCTTCAGTTTGTTGTTTATGATGTGTTGTAGGATTACAACGACAGCAGACTTTATCAGTTTTAACGCTATAGTGCATACTTGACCATCCACATCATCAGTTGGATCAGATATAGTTTTGCATTCAGGAGCTTCGACGAGTGTTTCACCATCTTCATTACCTGCAGGCAACGTCTGATGTCTAGACACCAACCCTTCCAACGGTTCCAAAAGGTATGTCATGTTCATACTTCCAAGATTGTCACCGTATTGATCCAGCCTGTTGTCTGACACTGTATTAATCGCGGCCGATTCATCATGGCTGTAGTTCATGACGCCACGACCTGTGTCGAGTGGTGCATGATCGAAGTCCGGCACTTAATAATTTCTATATCACTGAGGCCCATGGTTGTCGGGATGGTCTGCTGGAAGAAAATCCTCAAACATGTCGGCTTAAGTGATAGACCTGTCTTGACGTTGTATGCCTTTTGAATGGCTGGGGTTCCCTTTTAACAAACACCGTGGGAAGGCGGCGATTCTGTTTGACCCTCCCCACATACGTCATAAGCCAGAGAATCAAATAGGTTAATCTTAACACCCTTGAAGTGCTCGCGAGGCCTGCAACCAAATGCATTGCCATATCGTTTCTTCCTTGGCGCAAAAACCAAATTGTTTGCACTACCACTAGCACTAACAGTTGGTGTAACTGTAGAAAAGTCTGATTTACGCTAGCAGTAGACATTTCGCAACAAAAAAAACATACAAAACCACCGGTGGGGTGACTGCTTAAATACTATATACAAGCCGCACACACGCACACACACACACTCAGGTGTCATAAATCTTGGGGTGTGTGGGTGTCGTAAAAACCCTGCTGACTTGTCAATCAAAACTGACCTGTCAATCAAAACTGACCTGTCACAGGGGGTCATAAATCATGGGTCATAAATCACTCAGGGTGGGGGGTCATAAATCACTCGTTTGACAGAACGTGTGTGATTCATACTACTGGGCACAGTGTGCTCAAAAGGAATCATGGGTCGTTTTGCAAGGATTAAAGGAATTATTCAATTATTGAAGGGCCTGTATCTTTCACTTTCACTGTATTTTGAGGTCCACTTATAACATTTTGAGCTTTCATGTATCAAATATGGTCTTAATTCATTTTAGGTGACCATTTTCCAACCTCTGTTTATCCCTTAGCCTTAAACAGGCTGTTTCCATTATTGTGCTTTTAACAGGGAATTCCACCAATTTTTCAAATTTTCTTCATAATTCAACTGTTGAGTCATTCAGGGTGATTTGATGTGAAATTGTGCATTGTAGAGAAACATACTTTTACTGATACTTTTTTTACAATGTCGGTGACCAGAACACAAATATACCAATTAATTTAGTATCCAATAACAACCAGCTATGTGCATATTTTTTATATATAATGTTAATAAAATAGTGTCAGATTTAAATAAAAGTATATCCTTTGGGCACTATGCACTACTAACCTCTCCATCATGGCTGGATTGAAAGAAAAAAAGTTTTAGGCCAGTCTTATCTCAAACCTACTGTAAAACAAAGTCTCAGGCATCTGGCAGCATATGAATGTATATTAAATGTACTCGCTGTGCTAAATAAGACTGGGAATCGCACTGTCGTCGCGGTGGTAATCTGGTGATCAAAACTTACTTATAAACTGAAGGTTTCTGTACTAATCAGTGCTCAATATGAAATTTTCACTGTTGTAAGACCAAAAGATAAAACGTTCATGAAAAGACCGCAGTATAAAGCGATGGGCGACCGAACGTCTTCTCTGCATTCAACAGGCCATGATTGGCAACCACGTCATACTCTAATGGAACTACATTTCTTGGTGGAATTCTTGTTTATGTCGATTATTATGAATAATAACGCAAATTATTTACTGAATACTTGTGTGTTTAATCACATTATAGCGTTTACTACTACTATGAAAGAGGGATACACAACTATTTACACGTTTTATGCTTTATTGGAGCTGTGTTGGCTACAGCCCCGCCATGCAAATATAACCCGCATTTCATGTGGTTAACATAGTTTACACTTAAAACCTTCTGGCAAGCGAAGGGTTAATTTGCTGAGCGCTGCTTTGCCAGTAGCAACCAATCATATTGGAGAGTTCAGCTTAATCCCGCCCAGCGGCTGCTGAGAGACTGTGATTAGTACAACTCAGCTTTCTTATTGGAGCAAACGGCTGTTCTGCTAGCAGTAGCGAATCAGAATTGAGGATTCAGTTGTCCCGCCTCCCTTTCCCTTTTTCTTTTTCTCTCGTGCTGGAGAGGAGACGAGACGCAGCTGGAGCTTGGAGAACAAACGCTGAGAAAACTGGAGAAGTGGCTCTAAAGAAACAATAAAAGTCAATAAAAGTTAGGTGTCCTTGCAAAAAGAGACCCAAAAATTAGCTGTAACAAAACGATAAATGCCATTACTGGTTAGAGGCAGTCCAGCAGAGATTCTAGAGCATTCCAGGGGTCAGGGTTTTTTTGAGGATCATCAGAACCTGGCAGTCAGAGCCTGCTTGGATCTCCCGAGAAATTGATGGCGAGCGACCCACAAATAGAACGGTTTTCTTTGAGATTCATATTCACTGCGGACTGGTGAGCTAACAAAACACAAGACTAAAAGACTCTGTATTCTCTTTACTTTTGTGAACAAGCACGGGTATTCCTGCTACTTGTTTTGTTATTTATTTGTATTTTTGGTTGTTTATTTTTTCCTGTTGATAAACAGTGTTATTTGAGTTGATAGGGTGAAAACAAAGGGTTGAAATCGGTCTAAACTATATCAAGTTAAAATAGAGAAATAATTCTAGCTAAGCTTCATACCAAAGTAACAATTTATCCTAAATAACAATAACCCGGCTAAACTAAACAGATAATTCAGCGCTAAATCTAAAGTCTTAAGCCTTAACTAAATCAAAGATAACTAAACCTTAAACCCATTAAACTAGAACACAAATAGAACCACATTCTAATTTAAGCGCTTAAGAGGATCAAGTTGAACTCAGGGACAGAAGTGGGAAAGTGGTTTAATTGTTAAATATCTTTTCATTTTGTGATTTGTATGTTTTTTATTTATCACTGTTCAGTAAAGTGACTTTTTGTTTACAACACTACTCCTGCCTCCTGTGTATGCTGTCATACACCTTCCACCTCCTTGACAAACCTGGTTGTACTAAAGTTGTAATAAAATTGCCTTTTTGCAACTTCAGCATTTGCATCTAGCCTGCAGTGTTGCTGCTTTAGTTCATTAATAGGCTAAAAAGGGGTTACACAAACAAGCCAGGCTTCAGGCTAACTCCAGCATTGCTAGGGTCTAGGCCCTCCCTCAAAAGGGGAAAAGCCCGCTGTACGTCCGTACCGCTCCGCTCCAAGTTCTTCCCGTATAGAAGCATATACACTGTATTGCCAAAAGTATTCACTCACCCATCCAAATCATTGAATTTAGGTGTTCCAATCACTTCCATATCCACAGCTGTATAAAACCAAGCGCCTAGGCATGCAGACTGCTTCTACAAACATTTGTGAAAGAATGGGTCGCTCTCTGGAGCTCAGTGAATTCCAGCATGGTACCGTGATAAGATGCCACCTGTGCAAGTCCAGTAGTGAAATTTCCTCGCTACTAAATATTCCACAGTCAACTGTCAGTGGTATTATAGCAAAGTGGAAGCGAATGGGAACGACAGCAACTCAGCCAGGAAGTGGTAGGCCACGTAAAATGACAGAGCGGGGTCAGCGGATGCCGAGGCGCTTAATGCGCAGAGGTCGCCAACTTTCTGCAGAGTCAATCGCTACAGACTTCCAAACTTCACGTGGCCTTCAAATTAGCTCAAGAACAGCATAGAGAGCTTCATGGAATGGGTTTCCATGGCCGAGCAGCTGCATCCAAGCCTTACATCACCAAGCGCAATTCAAAGCATCGAATGCAGTGGTGTTAAGCACTTTGGGATGAATTAGAGCGGAGACTGCGAGCCAGGCCTTCTCGTCCAACATCAGTGTCTGACCTCATAAATGCGCTTCTGGAAGAATGGTCAAAAATTCCCATAAACACACTCCTAAACCTTGTGGAAAGCCTTCCCAGAAGAGTTGAAGCTGTTATAGCTGCAAAGGGTGGGCCAACATCATATTAAACCCTACGGATTAAGAATGGGATGTCACTCAAGTTCATATGCGTGTGAAGGCAGACGACCGAATACTTCTGGCAATATAGTGTACTTCGAAAAATGGCGGCTCCCTGTAACGTTCTTCCAAGAAGAGCAGAACAATCCCTTAACACATTCCCCAAACATGCTACCACATTTTACGTTGTCCGTCGTTTTATAAAGGCAGCCACTCAAGGCCGATACAATCGCAGTAATGCAGGCCTCTGGTGGCGTATCCTTTAAATTAGGCTCATTTGGTTTAACCTGCTTATCGAACTAAATGTCAATTGTTTTGAAACATAAACAAACAGAACACTTGGAAATACATTGTATTTAGAGTTATTTTTAATTAAACAGATGAAAAACACTACACAAATAAATAAACCTAAACATCATGATGATCATTTTAAAGACTCGTGCTTCGTTCCTGGGTCTCGTCTGGGCCACATGCTGTGGAAGTCTTCTTTCAGTATGAACTGCAGAGCACGCAGAATCTCGTTCCGCACAAACTCCCACGCACAGTACTGGAAACCCTGAAGAGAAACAACAGAGTAACACCAGTGAACCAAACTGAGCTGCTTTACATGTGGCTTATACCGATCAGCCATAACATTAAAACCAGGATATATGAAAAATATCTTTGTTTTATGGTGTGTGATGCTGTGACTATTGAGTGCAACGAGTGCAAAGGATGCATCATGACATTGTGATATGGCAATGTAAAACTGACATCATATGCATCTTGAAGATGTGAAATACGTCGTGAAGAGTGGACATTCTAGTACAGTTTTTCTCAATTGCTGGAACAGTTTTAACAAAACTCAGACTGATAGTCTTCATTGTCACTTTTTTAACAAAGCAGAAGAGTCCTTTTGAAAATGTGTTAACATTCTCATTGCTTTCAGTCATTTTTCACAAAAGGAAAACGTAGTGACAGCTGATAGAAAACACTTTCAAAGTTACACAGTCATACACCCCTGGTCAAATTGTTTTGTTGTAAATACATTAACACAATGTACAATTACTGTTTACCCGTTGAATTAAAAATATTGTTGAAAAAAATATTTGATGGTCTTATTTTTCCCAATATGTAAATTTGAAAAATAAATAGAAACTGTACACTAAAATTTGCAGAAAAAGTCATTTTTAGGTTTGTTCTTAGAGGATATGTGTACTTATTTTCACTTATAAAATTAAAACTTCGAACAGGAGTCTTCAAATATTTGTCTACCTTCAGCACAGGTACAACTAGGCTATTCAGTTTCAGTAATACTTGAAGCAAAGAACAATTAATCGAGTATTCTCCAGTCCTGAAGTCCCTACCTTTTCTTTTAAAACTGTTGCTATTTTATCAAAATATGCTCTGAGGGAAGCCTCTCTGCTAATAAAATCATCCAGTGACTCCTGGGTTTTGCCCATGATCTGAAATTGAGAAACAAAAGCATCAGTAGTTTATAGTGGCTTGTAGTGAGGAAATATAGCAGGAGGCTAAATTAGTAGATGTGAGAATTAGAGATACTGGACTACAGACTTCAGACAACAAAAGGGGCAATTTATAATTTCTCCTTACACATCTGTTCTCCTCAATCAGGCGGAAAATGATGTGCTGAAAATGGTCCAGTTTCTCCTGGGCAGCCCACTGGTCAGGAACTCTGTCAGTGTCAAACATGGAGTCAATGTACTTCAGTGTCGTGTAAATGGACTTTTCAGTGGCAGTGGTCTGTTTTTTGGAAATAATGATAACACAATTAATAGTAAATGACATAAGTTGCTGGAGCAAGCTTATACACCAAAGAAGGGACTAACAAAAGATTAGGACAGACACAAATAAATAGACACATAAATGGACAGACTGATACATAAATTACAGAGGGGAACCCTCAGGGCCTGCTGGGCCTTTAGTGAAGGCCTAATGGTTTTTGGGAACTAAAACTACATGTCTGTAAATCTTTGTTTATTCAGTAGAAACATGCTTGTATTAAACCTCTACAGATATTACAGCACTGCTGTTGTTTCATTCTTAAGTTTGGATGGAAGCAAAAAAGTTAAATTCATAGCTTCTGCTAGCAGAAGTTAGCATTATTGTAGACGTGTTTTTCCCCCAGATGCTTTGACCGAGTTTTGACATTTATGGCTCAGATTGAACGCCTAGCTCTAACAGTGATGCTTTTTTTGCATCAATAATGCAAAACACATATCAAAACAGATCAAAAATGCATTAGTGGCAGCAGTTTTTGTGCCTGAGCCACTTTAAGACAGACTAGATATTGGAGACCTGCCTGGGCATGCATGTCTAGACAAGCCTTGGTCGCTTGTATATCCTTATCCAAAATCTCTATGTTGATACCTGCAGTGATTGATGTGTTTGCAGGTCTTAGTATCGGTTTAAAAAAATAGCACAACAAAAAGTCATTTTGTGCCCAACTGGACTTGAATAAACACCTCTTCATATTCAGCACTGCAGATGTCAATTTAACTAAAAAGAGTCCGAAAAAAGTCAATAGCTTGTATCAATAGTAGAACCCTTTTTGGTGCCATATAAAACCATTTTCAAAGTGGGTCTATGTAGAACCATCTACAGCACAGTCTCCATTAATCTGAAGAACCCTTTAACAATGCAAAGAATCCTTTAATCATGCAAAGTGTTCTTTGAGTGTTCATGGTTCTATGTAGAACCATTTTGTTTACTAAAGAACCCTTGAAGAACCATCATTTTTAAGTGTGACAATGAACAATTTAACATCAACCCACTGACTATTTACATCTCAATGCTTGAATTATGCAGAAATTTTGAAAAATCTGTGGAATTTGGTTAAGTTTGTTACATTATAACTTAGTGAAAAGCTTTCACTGGGGGCAGATATCTTACCTGTTGCCTGGTGCTGGATTTGAACACACCCGTGGGAAAAGTGACCAAAACATTGTCCTCGAGGCACTGCAAAGGAAATGTACCCCCCTACATAAAAATGAAATGAGACATATAAGTGTTGGAAATCCAACAACAACCAGCATATGCCTTAACTAACCTTAGCTTACCATGGTCTCCAGGAGATGGTAACAGGTCTCCACGAGTCTCCGTTGGAGCTTGCACTTTGTAGGCATGGAGCAGACCTGTACTATACAAAGAAGGGTGCTATGCCAGATAACACGCTGGAGAGCCATGTTTTGACCTCTCTCCTGAGGAAAAATGATCGGGGGCGGAGAAAACCTTTAAACTCACTTAAGTTCTTTCGATGAGTCATTCATTATGAGCAACACTCATTCAACCTACATTGAAAGCTGAGGTATAGTATCCCTATAATTTGAGTCAGTAAAATTAAGCAGAGAATGACAGCATAGTCTGTCTGATGTTTAATAAGCCCAGCACTACTTCGGTAGCCCACTTATTATAACCATAGGCTGCTTTTTTGCCACTTTTTGAACATTGTCACATCATTTTTCACACATTGTATCATTTAACTATTCATCATCATGCTCTGTAAGATATACAATACTGTGCAAAAATTCTAGACAACTGAGAAATTATTTAAAAAGCTGTTTATCTGGGAAGTAAACGTTTATTTGCTCAGAATATCACTAATTTTACATTACTACATACTGTAATACATACTACATTAACACAGTACTGACTTTATGTCTGTTAATGTGTTCACTTAGCCATTTCCAAACCTCTCCTTATGGCAGCCAAGTATATTGTTATCATCCAGTACCTGGCTTGATAAATCAGTGCTTCATTAAGTGAAATCAAGTGTGTTGGTGATGTATTTGAGCAAATCAGTGATATGCCTGGGGGATCCTAAGGTCACAACATTGAAGGTCTAGATGTAATATATTAGCCAAGATGTTTGGTGTCCAAAGTTTTAGATTAGCACTGGAGCTACAAGGCTAACATTGCGAACAGACCCCTGAAGTAAATAGTAAACACATGCCTTAAGCTTCTTTCCACCTGTTTAACCTGCATCCAAGTCTGCACCAAGGCCGTGCAGAATCTTCAGTGTGTTTTAGTGTACAGTAGGACTTACTGTGAACTACAAAAGTGCACAAAAGTGCAGGCCGAGAGAGGTTTTGGGGGGAGATGATTTGGGTGACTATTGGCTTCTAGTGCATGTTAGTAACAACAGATTTACAGCTTCAATTTTAAACTAAGTGAGCAAAATGTGGACACCAAACATGTCTTGACTGATCAATACCATCTGGAATAAATTGTAGATATTTCACCAAACCATTCCTTTAAACTAACTATACATTTCAGTTCAGTTCATTTCGTATAAATTTCTATTGTTTAGCCATAGTCAGACAGTTTACCATATGTTGATATTGTCATTGTATATATCAGTTTAGCAGCTCCTAATTGTAGATAAAAAAGCAAATGTAAAACCTTTAGCTGATCCAAACTGCTTCCTCTGCAAATGTGTTGAATTAGAATTTAAACATATTCCAAATTATTAAAAGTATTATTTAATGCACCTCACTATGTACTATGTAGGCTGCATCTTAACATTCTATGGTTCACATAAGGTCACATGCTTCCCTTTAGAGTCGGGTTTGAACAGTCAGTCAAGGTGAGCTTTGGTAAATCCTCAGGACATTATGAGCTTTCCAAGAGCCAGTTATACACAGAGCTATGATACACCCATGTACTTACATAATAAAATCACTGGATTCTAAGGAATACAAGCACGCATGAGTAACAGCGAACGACTCACTTAGTTTTGGTTTACCCCCGGGGCTAATAGCTAACACAACTCTAAATCAAAACATCTCCTCTCAGAGCATCTTGAGGCCTGTTGGTGTGACGTCAAGAACTCTATTTTTAATCACAGACATATTTTTCAGCTGATGCTTATATTTCAACACTGGGACTTTCAATGTTGTCAGCAAATTACAGACTGGATCGTTCCTGTCTAGACCAAGCATTTTTGTCTTGTTTAAATACAGTGCTGCGTCAAGTCAAGTCAAATTTATTTATATAGGACAGATCTGTGCCTTATTCTAACAGGAAAACAAATTAACCAAAGGCTCAACTAAACAGGTAAGTTTCTCGCCTAGACTTAAAGATGGAGGCTGTGTCTGAGTCCCGAACACTGACTGGTAGGTTATTCCAAAGCTGGGGGGCGTTGTATGAAAAGGCTCTTCCCCCTGACGTAACTTTATTTATTCTGGGTACTAATAATGAGCAGCACCTTTTGGTGAGAACTCTGGCTGCAGCGTTCTGGACTAACTGAAGCTTGTTAAGGTTTTGTGCGGAACAACCAGAAAGCAGAGCGTTACAGTAATCTAACCTGGACGTGATAAAGGCGTGAACTAACGTTTCTGCATCCTGTAGCGACAGTGCATTTCTTAATTTAGCGATGTTACAAAGGTGGAGGAAAGCTGTTCTGGTAATATTGGTAATATGCTCATCAAAGGCCGGATCGGGATCGATCGTTACACCAAGGCTTTTTACAGATGTGCCTGGTGTAATTGAGAAACTATTGAGATTAACATAGGCAGATTATTCCTAGCAGCTTTTGGACCAAGAAGAAGAACTTCTGTTTTGTCTGTGTTTAGTAAGAGGAAGTTACTTGACATCCAGTCTTTAATGTCTTTTACACAGTCCTCTATCTTGAGTTCAATTTTGTCCTCTGGTTTAGCTGAAATATACAATTGTGTATCATCGGCATAGCAGTGGAAACTGATGCCATGTTTTCTAATGATGGTACCCAGTGGTAGCATATATAAGGTAAATAATATGGGTCCTAAGACAGAGCCCTGTGGAACACCATACTTTACTCTTGTGAGAGCTGAGAGACTAAAAGTCGGAGATCAAAGTCGGAGACTACCCTTTATTCATTTAACTTCCTGTCAAAATGGCCATTAGGTACAAGTTATTCAGTACATTACTATTTCTTATGTTATAATTTAATTTAAAATCAGGCAAAGTTTGCCGGTGTTCTCAGAACAACAGTCCAGACCTCAGCATCATTCAGTGTGTTTGGGATTACTTGGATTGTGAGAAAAAGAGAATGCAACCAACTTCTAAGACTGAACTTTGGAGGTGCGGAAAACAGTCTCTCTACAGAATTCTTTGAAAAACTGAAAACAAACCTCCCAAAAAGAATGCAAGCTGTAATAAAGGTAACAGATGGACAGGCCTAATACTGAAAATTGATATCATATATAGCGTTGAGGCTTCTCTGTGAATTTCTGCTAATTTTATATTTTATATTTTATAAAATGAATGACTTGAACTCCACTTCGATTGGAAATTAAAAGCAGTAAAAGTACCCATCAGACACACAGCATGTGTATAACTGGATACGCACCCCAGCTAAAATCTGTCAAGACGCTATGATGAATATCTTCCCCCTTGAGGTCAGGTGTTAGGCCAAGACCACCATTTTCGCATGAAAGTGATAGAACAGGCAGAGCAAGTCTGACTGATAAAAAATAGTAGTGAGAGAGAGAGAGAGAGAGAGGGAGAAATAACATGTTCTCTTTATTTCCCTTGAGCTAAAAGTGGTACCCGTGAATTGTGGTGTGAGGGGGAACTGAAAAAGCGAAAACCATGTCAACGGTTAACACGTGAAAGAGTGACTACCAGCCAAGACTGACGCACACACACCTGTGTATGACACAGAGAGTAGTACTTCTCCTCTTAATGCCCCCTGGGTAAATCCGAATATCAGCACTCAATCAGACTCTAATTTATCATGTGACTAAATTGCTAACTGCTCACTCACTGCTATGTACAGTCACCTTATTATTCTCCGTCACTAAAACAAACACAGCCAAATTGAGATGAGCAGATTCACTTTAAGAAAACGGTAGAAAACAGCATGAAAGAAATTCCTTCACCATGAGAACTCCTTTATCAGACTAACAGTCATCCAGCGTAATACAATGAAACTTAAGGATGTAAACACTCATCGAATGTCTGAAATAAAGGGTATTCATAGAAAGTTTGTCCCCCCTTTGCTGCAGTTAGTCTCTACTCTTAAGAAAAGGCTTTACACTAAGTGTTGGAACATTGCGGTGAGGATTTGATTGCATGCAGCCAGAAGAGCATTAGTGAGGTCAGGTGGGTGTTGGATAATTAATTCTGGATCACAAAGTCCACTCCAGTTAATTCCAAAACTATTGGATGGAGCTTCATCACTCAAGAGAACACGGTTCCACTGCTCCATAGCCCAATGCTCGGGGGCTTTATACCCCTCTAGCGGGCGATTGGGATTGGGCATGTTGACCTTAAGCTTATGTGTGGCTGTACTATTACATTAACAGGTTTTAATTTGTGTGTGTGTGTTTTTTCAATTGGGATCATTGCCCCTGACTTGTATGTATGTATGTATGTATGTATATTATGTCTTGATAAAAAAATTATGTTGTGTTGACCTATCCAATCCAAATTGACCCCTTAGTCCCTATTTTATTTTAAATAAAGTGACCCCTAGGCAATGGAAATTCATAGGAATGGAAAAAGTACAGAGAAACTGTATGGGTACTGAAAAAACTGCAACTAAAAGTGGAAGCATGGAGCAAAAATGTACTTGATGTACTTGAGTGAAAAACATCAAGTAATTGTTTTCATTTTTTTTTTTTTGCAATGAGTACTTTTAGGTTTAGATGAAAAAAATTAGGAGCAGAGATTGTTTTTTTTTTTTTCTCATGGAAATGTATTTAAGCAAGAGCAGAAGTATTTGAGTATTATTGACTACTGTCAATAATTGAATAAAGTAAAAATAATACTTGAGTACAATAACAAAAAACAGTTACTTAAGAATTTCCATCCCAGAAAATGTATTACCTGCACCATTTATTTGAAGATAAATGAGGTACAGATGAAAAATAAGATATAGTTTCCATGAAATGGTAAAGACTGACACCTGCTGGTACTTATCAGGAATAGTGGGCTGCCTCTACCAAACTGAGTTCACTAAAATTTACAACAAATATATTTGTCAGTCAGTTACTGAGGATTTTTTACAGATGTCTCTAAAAGGACACAACAAACTGAAAGATTTTGGTTTACTGCTCACCTAAAGAAATGTAAAGAAATCAAATACACTGATTGTCCAGCTACTCTTGTAGTGGTTCATATTTGGTCCATGATGCTCTTCCTCTGGGAGAAGGTGAAGAGCGTAGATTTAACCTAAAGCACAACTGGAACTATAGTAGCTGAAGGCTAATGGGAGAGGTCCATACTGAAGTCCCAGGGCAAATCTTCCTCCTCTCCACCATCAGGTTCAAATTCACTCCAGGAGATGTCATTCACCTGTAGATGGTAGAGAGATAGAAGCTTCTCATATTATCAGCCCTCTAAGAGAAACCACAATAAAGAAGTTAAAAAGGGACGACAACCTCTGTATTAATTGCAGGCCTACATAGCAATGAAGGGTTATGAACCATTAGTACGAAAAGAGGTTTATTTTTTCGATGGGCTTTTGATTATTACAGGTGATCAAGCAGATTTTCATGTGATGGCGTAAAGGAATTTCCATAACACTGCTTCAGGTTTTTACTACTTACCATTGTCTTTTTGAATCTACACATATAAACAATGGTTTTGTTAAATCTACAAAACTGTAGTTGGCATTCTTGCAAGATTTTTGTGAACAAATAAACACATGCATTTACCTGAATGGCTCCCTTGACATTGTCATCTGGCAGAACTTCCTCTCTGTCAAATCTACATTCCACTGCTACTTTTCCGTTGCCTGAAGGGCAGAACATTTAGTCTTTAATACTGTCCAAAGCAAAGCTAAATGATAGGAATTGTGTACTATAAAGGTGCAGAAATGCAACAATGTAAAGTCCCTCTAAATTGTATGTAGGGGTGATTTTGCCACGAGGACTGGAGCCTGACACAGAAGCATGTCGGTTTGTTAGATTATTCACTGATGTATTTTTGGCAATGTGACAAGCGCTTCAATGCGACAAGGCTTCAGAAAGGATGAAGCCTTTCCTGGATGCTCCTTTCATACTCAAGCATGTCTGCATCGCCTATATAATGTGGAACATTTCACAATATTCCTATTCTTTTTCAAACATGTTTTAGGCATCAATTTCAGATGGAGCATGTATTTATAAAAAAACAAAGTAGCTAGGGTAAAACATTAAATATCTAGTCTTTGTACTGCTTCCATTTAAATACAGGTCAAAAAGGATTTACAAATCACTGCTTTCTGTTTTTATTTGCATCTCACATACTTTTTCAACTTTTTTGGAATTGAAGTTTGTAATATCTAATGTCTAAAAATAAACACCATGAACAAAATTATTATAAGCGTTAATGTAATACCTACCAAAAACTATAAGTAAGACTTTCTCAAAGGCTCCAACTACTGCCTTGTCTTTGGCCCATTTCTTTAGCTTGCTAATTTTCCAGAGTTTGTCTTCTGGCCCTGAAAACAAAACACATGCAATATTTTCTTCACATTTTACTAACAAATAGCAGCAGCATCTTATTGATTATCCACCAGAGCTGTAATGTGTATAAAATGATCCTTTACCTTACAATACGCTTATTTCTTTCAATGATCACCTCACCTTTCTCCAGATCTACAACATCTTCAGCGACACCAACCCCGCGACATGTCACTCCATGCTGGGGGATAGTCAGTTCCACAATGCAGCCGTATTTCAACAGCTCTCCCTGACTGGCTGAGTCAAAGCTCCAGCCGACATCCGCACACTTTGAGATGTCCTTTAGCTGGAGAAAGATGGGACGGCACAGGATAAGCCTCAGTTATAGGGCAAGTATTCGTCACTAAGCTAGAATCAAATAAAACCACCCTTTTTGCCTTTCATTTTCAATGAAAGAAGAATATGATGCATATTCCTTGGAATATCTACCAGAAGAATGGCAGTCCAAAGATGAAATAAAGAACATATTCCACAATGAGACTTGAAGTTAAAGGCTGTGTGTAGTTTGGAAAGATTTTAACTGAATTGTTGTATATAAAACTGCATTGTGTATATACATATGCTGTATGAAATGGAAACAGAAACGCAGGTACTTACAGTAATAATGCGAGTTGACCAGCCATTGAAGCCCAAGTAGTGATTAGCCAAGTCTTGGCACTTAGCATGACTGAGAGATTGGGATCCAGATAGGAAGGTTGGGTTTTGTTTTGTGCTCAACCTCACCTGTACGGAGAAAAAGTAAGAGTGCATTGTTTTAAAATGTTCAGTGTTTGAGTTGGAATATGGAAAGATACAACTATGAAAGCTGAAACTGATCTCTCAATATTCTGACATTTTATTTATATGATATAATTTACACACCTATAGTACTGTGCAAAAGTCAGAGACCACATTTTCATTTATTTAACTTCCAGAAAAACAGCAATTAAGTGCATTATTCATTTTTCAGCATCAGGAAACAAACAAAAACATACAGAATATTATTTGCAAATTAATTTATTTCTTTGACTTTGTTGCAGATCCCATTTTTCAGGAGACCTGGATTCAGTTTTTCAAAAAGTCTGCAAGAATATATTTCTACCTCTGCAAAGTTCAATCTTAGAACTTTGTTTCGTTTTCTGCTTCTCACAATTCATGTAATATCAGTTACAAATTAGACCCATCAGTCCATAAAACCTGACTCCACATCTCAGATGTCCAATTTCAGCCTTCTAGTCAAATTGTCTTCTTTTTTTGTCTGTTTCCTTTTCTACGCAACAGCTTCTTCACAGCTACAGATCTATTTATCCTTGTCTTCTCACAGTGGAAGGATGGACAGAAACACCTGTGGGTTTTTTAAAAAGAGTGGAGCTTGATTTTCTCCTCTCTCTCAAGCAATAAGAGCCTTAAGTAGTGTTTATTTGATGGTAACAGTTTTGGTGGTCTACCAGGTCTTGCACAGTTGTCAGGGGTCCCATTGTCTTAGTATCTTTTAATCATTTTTGTTAAACCTCAGTTGTGGAAAGTCCTGTTTTTCCACTTATTTACCTTTGACTTTCCTTTTTCTTATGCAAGTAGATTATCTCATATCTAATGTCCTCTGAGAATCTCCCAAAAAAAAAAAAAATTGTCCTTAATGGTTATTTTAACTAGAAATTAAATAAACGAAGGGTTGTCTCTGACTTTTGCACACTGTTCTGTACTGTGTATAGAACAGAACAGACCAAGGAACCGAACTGCACAAACAGAAATAATATCCCAGATGAGTACTTTTAGCGAAATATCCTAATTGCATTCACCCAAAAAAAAGACATGTAAGAAATGTTCCACAATATCTGCCTTGGAAGTAACAGACAACAAATTGGCTAAACTGATGTTTGTGGACTACCTGACAAACCTGATAAAAACATATAGGAAATAAAAAGAAAGGAAGCAGCACATTACTTTGAGGGGAGAGTTCTGGAAGAGACACTGTTTGTCAGTGGCTTTCTGGGCTTTTGATGCGTGGGCAAAGGAGTAAAACTTGACCATTGCATAAAAACCCGGCACAGCCACTGCAGCATTGGGACACACCTTCACCAGGTAGAGAGCTCCAAATGCTGAGTACACACTCCATAGCGCCTCCTAGCAAAGGTGAAGGATAGTGCAAGAGAAAAGTAAGCTTTTGCATTGAAGGCTTGGTTTTGTCATATGAACCTTTAAGTAAAACTAGAGGCTCGTGCAATTTAAAACTACCTTCTGTTAAATTAGTGCTTCTTTTTACCACAACGTGCATAATTAGCTTGGATGTGTTCACATTTGTCCTACTGCTGTCCTTGGAGGAGTATGCATAGGGGTGGACAATTTGACATTTTATCATTTAATATAAATGTCATCAGAATATCATATACATAATATAACAAATAAAACATTCAGTATTTTGAGCAGGTCGTGGACATTTTCAGCCATTAAATAACACACAATGCATGTTTCACTAAAAAGAGAACACAATTAGTCAAGCTTTACTGGCTTTAGTGCAGTGCAACATGTGAGATGCTGAATAAAAAATAACTGCACTCATATTTTTGATATGTTTTAAAGGGGTACTGCCAGTGCATTGTGATTGGCTTATCAAACCTCAGAAAAAATCGCTATGAATACGAATCGTGGCATAAATCCAATATCGTGATATTGTATTTTTGCCATGCCGCCCAGCCCTTGCTTTAGTAACTGAACACTTTGATATTAGCAGGAACCACGTCGTTAGCTGGAAACAAGAGAACGAAACTTAAGTTAGCGTCTTGTTCCTCAGCTCCTTATTCGAATTCCCGTTCCACCTTAAACGTACAGGCCCCAGAATGTAAATGCTGCAGCTTTTAAGGTGGAACAGAAGTTTCCGGTTAGAAGCTAGCGAATAGGAAGCCTCGTAAACATAGGTTTGAGTTCATGAGTTCAGTGACTCCGGCTATTTACTTACATAAATATACGCTTCCGAAAACGATGCTTGTATGTCCCAGATAAAAATAGTTTTGTTGTTTTCAACTGGCACCCTGAATTCAACGATGTCTACTGCGATGTCCATTGAATCGCAGTGCCTGTCACATTAATCGAGGGCACTGCAGCCTATGCACACTTGCTTTTCTTAAGATTTTACTAACAGAATAAGAGCTCTGCTTCTAGGTGAATCACCGAAAATACGGCCGAAGTGCCGCGCCATGGTAATAACCGGTATAACACCAGTTACATTTTTCTGCAGGCTAGTTTTAGCGTCCTAGGCAGTGATACAAAAAGTACAGGAACCGTATCCGCTGAGAAACTTCCGTAAACAAACTGGGATTTCCCGCGCGAATTCGGAACAGATACGTCACACATACGTAAGAAAAGGCGCATGCGCGGAATCGTGAACATGTCTTTTTTTTCCTTAACATTGATTATTGATCATAAATGACATCTTATTTTTCTTTCTTTATTGATCCATATTCGTTTGATAGTGCTTTAGACCATAAAACACAAGTATTGCCAGGACATAAGATAAGAAGGTAACAATATATATACACATACAGACATCTTGCATGAGGTAAATACAATATATCTTTAAAAGAATTTAAATGTTGTCAATGTGTTCATCAGTTTAGCTGCTTTTTACAATATATATATTGAACTGAGGTGATGTAGTTGTAAAAGTCACCTTTAAATGAGTTGTAATGTGGGTTTCTATTTGTAAAGTTCATTTTATGGATAAAATATTAACCAAGAAAAATGAACTGATTAATTAAATAGCAGGGATCCTTATTGCAGTCTTTGTAATAAAACAAAATAACTAAAGTTTCTATCCTTAATATAATGCTCATTTATTTGTCCAGTATTCTTTGTCTCATTCCAAACGTTCTTAGAATGGGTATAGTTGGAGAGCAGGTGTTCAATACATTCATTGTTCTCACCCCAAAAGTTACATATATCCTCCACCTGTGGGTTATACTTTGAGATAAGTAAGAGAAGGCCTGCCCACCAAAAAATAGTTAGCATATGAGTGAAATGTATCAAAAAACTCCTTAGGGAACTTATTACAAACTACACACATGCAGTGAAACATGCAGCACCTACCATTACAGGAGCTGACAATTGTTAGTCTCTTTTTGGGACCCTTTTGGTCAGAAATGAAGAGTTGTAAACCAGTCCAGGTGGAGAACCAACAAAATAGTGAAATTAAACCACAAAAAGAGAATTGTGATAGGAACTGATCGATGAGGATTAAAATGGAAGTGAGGAAAATGTGCATTCCTTTCCTCACTAATAAATGGTACCTATAGGTACCATCCAAAACTGTCAAACAGTTTGATGTTCTCTCTAGAATCTGAAACCCCACTAACCATGTATTTTGCCACAGGCCCGAGTATAAATGTCACAAACAATAAGATCATACTGCAGAGAACAGCTTTATTTGAACAACACCACAAAGCAGTATACATAAGAATAGACGGAGATGACTAATGAGTTACAAATATAGGCTCTGATATGAAAATAAATTTTGAGTATGTCTCACGATCATTTATCCAGGAGCTTACTCATCCATCCAAAAGTTAATTTGATTGTTTCATTTTTATAACTATCATTTTGTCTTTACAATCATTAATAACTCATTTTACCAAAATGTAAAAATTTAGGCCAGTAAATATATCTCTTATTTCCACTTTTTTCAAAATAAAGCCATATTTATTGCATAGCACCACTTTGAAATATGTCTCACTTTCAACCTTACAGCTGCGGAGACAAAGAAGTGACATTCATCAATCTACTATACTTATGAATGGATGAGTTCTCTTTGGCAAGCAGAATAAAAACAGAAGTTTTGAGAAAGTGGCGAGTACATTTAGCCATGCCTGATCACAGTGGTGGTTAACTGGCTTTTGCAGCTGGTCCGAGAGCCGATTTTGTGTTCCTCTTTGAAAAGGTAGGGAGAGAATTTGAAGATGGAAAACGTGTCCAAGATCAGCACAAAAGGGCAAGCAGATCACAGGCTGTGGCTAATTGTGCTTTGCTGTCCCCTACAGGGTGCAGTTGGAATCAAGGGACCTCCTACAGTTGGCCACCCTCAGATAGGTCTCCACTTTGTGCATGTCCTTCTTGAAGCAGGCCAGCAGACGGAAGCTCTTTCTGAGGTTGCCATCACCCAAGGTCTGGTAGAAGTCTTCGAATGGTAGGGGCAGAGACTCATTGTCGTCCATGTTGGGTTGGCCATCCAGACATCCCTATAGAGTTTATCACAGTGACAAAGAGCAGATATCTAAAGTTAACAGCAGGCTGTAGTATTTTTTCTGAATGATTAGGGTTAATAAGTTACAGCATTTCACTCTATTTTTCCACTGACCTTGATAAGCACACTAATGCCCACTTTCAGGTCAGCCAGCTTCTCTGTAATCTGGTTGGGGTTTCCGAGGATCCTGCTGGGGTACTCCCAAGACTCGATCAGGCGGTATGAGATGTGCAGCAATTTCAGCACCTTATATAAAATGTGATATGTAAGGCTTGGATCAAAATCTGCATGTTTTATGTAGGCATTCTGGGCCTTTTTTTAAAACAGGGATTAAGCCTAGTCCTGGACTGCAAATCATTACGCGTGGAGATTATCTACTGAAAGGAAAATGTAGTACAAAACTAGATGTAATCCCTGTCTGGGAAGCCAACCCTATTTATATTATTACACTATTAATACAAGGTTCTCACATGTTCTGGAAAACCTAGAACATTATAGACACATTTTCTAGTCATCAAAACACCTGGAAAATAAAAAAGTTGACAATGTCCAGGAAATATTAGTAAAACTGCAAAGTTTGTCCACTAAGTCGCTACTATTAATATCAGAAACTTGCTGTTCTAGAATAATAATGGCATATAGGAACTTACAGAGCTCTTCTGGGTCTCGTCCTTGCCAGTGGGGGCTTCAATGGAGTCAGAATTGCAGAAGGACAGGGGGAAAATCTTGCTCAGCTGTCTGCGTTCCTCAGGTAAAAGACTTTCCTCCTTCAGAATGGCAACACAATAAGCAAAACAGTTATTTTATTAAGTTGTACCTGATTAAAATGAACTTAACTGTGCTTCTTTGTGACAACAGTGGGTTCTTATTGGTCCCCTTTTTAAAGGAATTCTCCACCGTTTTCAGTCTAATCTCTGTCTTTTGCATCTATTTTGAACCATCAGTTGCCACGGATAATAATTTACTTGTACTTAAAAACAGAACAGAAGAAGCATTTAAAAGGGAAAAAAGGGTACTCTGGGAAATGTAGTGTCTGTAGTGAATTGGTGTGGCCCAGTAAAATGCTGTCATGCCCCACTGTTTTCACAGTTTAAGGTCAACATGTAAGCTATAAGGTTTCCTGTTTTAATCTAGATTGTTGGGTGAAACTACATGACACAAACAATTATTCACTACATTTCCCATAAGGCCTCAGCATCTTTTCTTTGAACGTTGTTAGTTTCCATGAGGTGAGTCTCTATGCCAGCTGTTCTCAAAGCGGAGTTGCTAATGCCAGCATAAGGCTAATCACTTGTAGCCTACCAACAATGCATATTAGAGCACTAAACCAAAGTCATTAGTTAAGTTAGCATCTTAGGAAGTGTAACTGAATTTAATACATCATTAATATTATATAATAGTCAGTCAAAAAATGCAGCTGTTTGTTTTTAATGCAGACTGTTCTGTCACTACAACTGACAAGCAAAGAGGTTAGGCTGTGCCCTAAAACAAGTGGCAGTCTAGAAACACCTGTAGTGGTAACAGATGTGGCGAACAGAGGTAAGGTTGAAAAATGATGGAGTATTTCTTTAAACAAATAACTCAAATAGAAGAGATCTACACTGCAGAGTTAAATCGGTGATTCTAAACTAAATGATAGTTTAAAGGAATTTTACAAAATCGGTGATCATCTTCGCAGCCAGCTGGTGAAGGTGTTGCACACGGATGACTGCATTGTTGAAGAGCCGTTGATTCTCAGAGGTTGAGCCCTGGCTAATGAACACACTTGCCACCACAACAGAGAGCAGCACCAATCCTTTAAAATGAGAAAAAGCATCTTTAACATACATACACTTTTAATGCAGGTTCCTGTCTTTGGACTGGAATCATGAAAGATTCTTCATTGGCCATTTACTCCAGTTTTATAGAGATAAATTTAAAGTAAAATGCTTATTTGAGTTGATTAAGACTAAACATGGGCAGACTGTGTACAGAAATATGCAGCATAAAGTGAAACTCTTGAAGATTTTATTTGACATTACTAATTTAAAGAGCTGGGCGGCATGGTGGCACAGTGGGTAGCGCTGTCGCCTCACAACAAGAATGGCCTGGGTTCGATTCCCGGCCGGGCGACCCGGGTCATTTCTGTGTGAAGTTTGCATGTTCTCCCCGTGTCTGCGTGGGTTTCCTCCGGGTATTCCGGTTTACTCCCACAGTCCAAAAACATGCAGTCAGGCTGATTGGACACGCTAAATTACCCCTAGGTGTGAGTGTGTGTGTATGTCTGTCTGTCTGCCCTGCAATGGACTGGCGACCTGTCCAGGGTGTATCCTGCCTTCCGCCCAATGACAGCAGGGATAGGCTCCAGCACCCCACCGTGACCCAGAAGGATAAGCGGTTTAGATGATGGATGGATGGATGGATAATTTAAAGGGTCCACATCACAGAAAAGCCCCTTTTTCTCACTTTTTGAAATAAAAGACTTTGATGTGGTATGTAAACATTATTAAAGTTCATCTAAGTTGCAAATATTGACTGGTCTGAATGTTTTTTGACATACAAATGCATTTACATGTGTCTGCCTCTTCAGCCTACAGCAGCCCATTCAAGGGTGAAGTTATAAGGCCTCCTTCAGCCTGCACTGTCTGTTAAACCAGGCACAGTGCAATGCAGAGACTATTTACATAGTGTTTGTTATAAACAAAATCTTGTGGCTGCAATTTTGATGTTTTTTTTTTCAGCTGAAAATGCCAGCTGCCCTTCACAATTAAAAAATGTTCTAATAAATGGACCAACAGAAATGGCCCAAAATTATTTGGCAAAACATCTTGTTACATGAACTTACATTAAAAGTTACAAATGTTTTTTCCTTCTCCTGAAAAGTTATGATTCTGGAGATACAAGTGATGATACAGCCATGTCCAAAAGTATGGGCACCCTTGGTCAAAAGACATTTGTTGATTCTCTAAGTGTAAATAAGTTAAACACATCCTCTACAGAGAACACTTCTGCACATTTTAATGCACAATTACTGTTTATTTGCTGAATTTAACATATTTGGGAAAAACATAAAATGCAGCCTTTGCAAAAGTTATGGCCCAATTTTTGTTAGGTTTTTTTCGCCAATATGTTAAACACAGCTAATGAATAAAGCACCACATTTTTCAGAAAATGCCATATTAAGTTTGTTTCCTGCAGAGGATATGTTAATTTACTTTCACAAATCAATAAAACATGTCATTTGACCAGGAGTGTTCAAACTGTTGTATTTGACTGTATATCAGTTTTAAAGATGCAGTAACATCCTATTTTAAAAGAAGTTGAAAAATGCTAATGAATAAAAGAATTATGACCTCTGGAAAAAAATAAAAGAAAAATTTTTAGTATGCCCTTTTAAACTAAGCAGATCTAACCTATAAGTGGAATGAAGTCATTCACAAATCTTCATCATAAAAACAGTGTCCCTTATAAACCATAAAAAAGAAGCAGGATTAGCCTTTCTCACATTGCTCTTAGCAGCGTAACTAAAATGCTACATTTGTAATGTAACACCACCTAAAAGTAAAAGTCTTACCTTTAGCCATTTTGCCTTTAGCCAGATTTGCTCTCAGTCTCTCAGTAGAAAGCTTGGGAGTGATTGTGTCTCATGCTCTGGTGTGCTGATATTTATATCTGAGCAGCGTTTGTTTAAATGCATCTACGTGAGAAACACAATACTTTCCACGCTACTGTCAGATTTATTTATATGCATTCTTATATATATTTAATTGGTATATCCTAATGTGCTTTGAGACATTTTGCGTACAACGGTTTCCAAAACCTGAGGAGGAATGACGCTGGCACTGGAAAAATGAACTTGGCTTGTTTTTCTCATACTAAACAGGCATGAACAAGACACAGTACAGCTGTACCTGTTCTGAAGAGTGCTGCCACCTTGTAATGGCTGTGGTACATGTACTGTATATATATGTACTTCATCTATATCTATTATAGTGATATATATCTATATCACTGCTGTCAGAACAAAACCTTGTATCTCCATTTTTGTCCTTTTTTTAGTTTTGACATGTCCACATTTTTACATTACATTTTTATATACATTTTATCAGCTCCACTTACTATATAGGTGCACTTTGTAGTTCTACAATTACAGACTGTAGTCCATCTGTTTCTCTGCATACTTTAGCCCCCTTTTACCCTGTTCTTCAGTGGTCAGGTCCCCCAGGGACCCTCACAGAGCAGGTACTATTTGGGTGGTGGATCATTCTCAGCACTGCAGTAATACTGACGTGGTGGTGGCATGTTAGTGTGTGTTGCGCTGGTACAAGTGGATCAGACACAGCAGTGCTGCTGGAGTTTTTAAACACTGTGTCCACTAACTGTCCGCTATATTAGACACTCCTACTTTGTCAGTCCACCTTGTAGATGTAAAGTCAGATATGATAGCTCATCTGCTGCTGTACAGTTTCTGTTGGTCATCCTCTAGTCCTTCATCAGTGGTCACAGGACGCTGCCCACAGGACGCTGTTGGCTGGGTATTTTTGGTTGGTGGACTACTCTCGGTCCAGCAGTGACACTGAGGTGTTTAAAAACTCCAGCAGCACTGCTGTGTCTGATCCACTCAGACCAGCGCAACACACACTAACACACCACCACCACGTCAGTGTTACTGCAGTGCTGAGAATGATCCACCACCCAAAAAGTATCTGCTCTGTGAGGTTCCATGGGGGACCTGACCACTGAAGAACAGGGTAAAAGGGGGACAATGAGCGTAAAAACAAGGAGTTGGTCATAAGGTAATGCCTGATCGGTATATATATATATATATTTTTTTTTTTTTTTTCTTATGTGTCAAAGCTCCCGAAGTCTTCCAGCAAAGGATCTGCAGGAAGGTTTAGCTGAGAGAGGAGTGCTGACACTGTTCTGCTGTGCAGAATTTCTTGCACAAACATGATCTGCATGGAACAGTACATAAAAGGAAACCTTACCTGCAACCTCATCACAAAAGTCAACATCTGAGGAAAGCCAGAGGCATTTTGGAAACAAGTGTTCTGGACTGATGAAGTAAAAATGGAACTCCCTGGCCACAATAACCAAAGTTATGTTTGGAGAAAAAAGGAGCAGCAAAACACAGTGCTAATATGGGGGGTGGATCTTTGTGTTTTGGGGGGTTGTGCGGTAGCAGTAGCTCAGGAAATATTACAGGGGTAGATGGAAGAATGGATTCCACTAAATGTCAGCAAATTCTGGAAGCAAATGTGACAAAGTCACAGAAAAGATCCAGATGATCCAAAACATAACCTCAAAATCCACCATGAACATCACTGAAAATCTGTGGGTAGATATTAACAAATGGCAAAAGAATACTAGAAGTATGACTACAAGTGTTCTGCAAGTAAGATAAGGTGAAAATTCTTAAAGCAAATCTAGAAAGACTCATATCTATTTTTTATTCATATAAAAATGTAAACATTTAAAAATAAATGTTAAAACTCTGCATTAACATTTGCAGGAAAGAAAATGTTTATTACTTTTCACTTCAAAAAGTGTATCACAAAATATGTAATTTTGTCAGGGATGCCCAAAGTTTGGCATAAAATGTTTGTGGAAGTAAAGGTGTTGCTACTGGAAGAAGAAGGTTTGTGAAGATCCCCTTTTTTCTACATCTTCAAACATCAACTAGTACTGTTCATCTACAGACACCTCTGTTCTGCTTGTACATTGACAACAATGTAAATCTAAATGTTTAGGTTTTACATAATGCATTTAGCTGAGCCATTCCCCTGAGAACACATTAGAGAAAGCTTGAATGTAACATCAAACACCTGAGTTTAAATCTTAAATGCCACTTTTTTTTAACAAATAAGTGTTCCCTTCTTTTAAAACTGGTATTTATTTCATCAGTTTGTTCTCAAATAGAGGAATGGATCAACATGTAAAAAGTGTTTAAGTTTTTTAAATGTTTGGATTTACAGTCAACATTTACGCTTTCCGTTGTGCACCTTGAAATGGTGTCACCACTTCATCAACAGTAATGAAAGGACATCAGATCATATGCATACGTGGCTCTGGTGGAACAAGAAGAGTTTCCTATCTGGGTGTGATGGCAGTCCATGTGTAATATTCAGTGTTGAGAGGCAGGTAAAATGTCAGCAAGGAATTATGGGATTAATGCCCCGCTGGGAAAAACAGAATTCGATCTGTTTACCTGATTCTATTACCTAACACTGCGTCCGTATTCTGAATGAGTGTCGTTTCAGAGGAAAATAAAGCAGTAGGCATGTTTTATGGAACAATGAGCTGAGGCCAGTAGGGCGTTTCATATACATTACTTAATGCTAGTGGGGAACCGTCACTGTTAGAACTTGGCCTTCAGTTCAAGCCATAAATGTCAAAACTCTGTCAAAACATGAGAAAAAACCATCATCTTAAATCTAGCATTTCAGTAAAAATAGCTCATTTTATAGCTTACAAGTTCTTAAAGAAGAAATATCGGACAAGTATCAATATTAACCAATGCTGAAGGCTTTAGTGTCAGTATTGGTAAAGAAAAAGTGGCATTGTGTCATCTCTACTTTGATAAGTGTGCATCACTTGTGGAAAATAGCTATGGTTTAAGTAGTTACCCCACCAGATAATCCTCAGTATAAACTACAGCTCTATCAGGCCTTAATCAGAGACTATAAATTAGTACAGATGACCTCTTCACCATCAGAGATCTTCAGCAGAGACAGTCCCTGACCAAGTACAGGCTCTGTGACCTCAGTCTGGCCATAGAAATGGGCAGATATTTAAAAAAAATCCTGGCTGCCCAGACAGAGAAGACTGTGTGGTCACTGTGAGAGCGGTGAGGTCAAGACAGAGCTGCACTTCTTCCTATACTGCCAAAAATCCATATTAACACGAGAAGATTTTACTAAAGAATTTAAAAAGATTGTCCCAAATCTTGAATTAGTATTTTTAACACAGTTTAAAAATTACTAGTTTTCCTTGGTGAAAGACACACAACTTCTCTCGCTGCAAAATGTGTGGCAGCATGTCACAGATTATTGTTATTTCACTATGATTATTATAATTACTATCAATAATTATATAATTGATATTCATAAAAAGTATGCTCAACTTTGAAGTTAATATGCTGTTAAGACAGGGCGGTTTGCATGAGACAGAAGGAAACCCTGCTGCTCTCCCTCAGCCTGTCTGTCATGTTATGTTCAGGACCCAAACAGAGAGTGTGACTCTCGACCAATGAGAAGCGCTGACAGCGTTGCTACGATACGCCTGACAGCAGTGCAAGATTTGAAAATGGCGAACTCCGAGCGGAAACTCTAAACTATAACCAAACTATAAACGTTACATCCAAGTGTTTATATGTAGTAATTTAGCGGTTAAACCAGTCCCACCTGAAGTTGTACAGCCCCGGTTTACTAACTGTAACTCGTGGAGAGAGATTAGATGAAGCTGAAGTTAGCTTCTTATGCTTTTTCCCGTTCCACCTTAAATGATGTAGCTTAGCACTTACATTCAGACGCCTGTTCGGGCACCAACGTGTAACTGCTGAACTATTTAAGGTGGAATGGAAATTCCAACAGGGAGCATCAGCCTCAAAAGATTATCAAATGAAGCACAGCAGTGTGGTACCGGCTAACACAGCAGGCAGACAGACAGACAGAGCTCCACTGAGTTTATCACTGTTTTCACAATTTTCATATGTGAATGAAAAAGAGAACCGAAGTATGAAAAAGCTAGTTAAGAAAAACAGAGATTTCTGAGCAGGTGAGCAGTGAGTTACTTAGCATGTTGACAGTCATGATGATGGTCATGATTGTGTCAGAGAACTCGTAGAGAGGATAATTACCAAGCTATGATGTCTTCCGGGTTTCTCAAACACTAGAGGGCGCTCCCGAGTGAGTCCAAAATGAATGGGTTAAGAAGAAGCATTTCAGTAAAATCATAGTTTATAAATGCTTAAACATTTTTAATGTAAAAGAATGCAATCATTTTCTGAACACTGAACAGCATAAGACATTTTAACACCAATGCTGTTTTTGAGCGCTTTTGAATTCGAGTTATAGGAGTTTGAAATGGCAACTCATATACGCCGATGACGTCTGCGGCAGAGCCGTATAGAGAGATATCTATATGTGAAGTCATTCAGAGAGATTTTATGTGAAGTGCTGCATTGAGGAGAAACTTACTAAGTCTGAACAGTTCACAGTGGTGATGAATGGAGCCAGATGTCTGCATTTAGTGCCTCTAAAAGCTCCCTCAACGAAAGTTATTACATAAAATTACAGTGTTATTAATATGCTGTCTGATGTCTGAGACATTGTGTCACAGAAGTTTTGAGAGAATTTTAAAAATACATTCATGGCAGAGAGGTACTTGCAGAGCAAAATACTTATTTTTTTCAGATTTAGAACCATTTTGCCATCATCAACATGATGTATACAACTCAGAAGACACATGGTCATTTTGGATAGAAAATAAAATGGCTAATTTGGCAAACCCTGGCTCCTCTTACCACTGTAAAGAAATCTGATTAAGTTAGTTTCTCTCTTTGATGTGTCCGGTTCATCAGCTCTTCTGTACCCCGTCCATCCTACTGACCACCAGAGGATCACTGCTGACCA